CTCATAGGGTTTGCCTGAGGGTGAAATGAGAGGATGCCTGGGAAGGATTCAGCTTATCATGAGGTACAGAAAAGTACTCCACAAGTGCTAGCCGTTATCCACGCAAGCAAAACCACACTGGAAATCCATTGCTCACTTAGCTGATTGGCAAACGCCCACAGCGCACCCTGCTGACGAATTTTCGGGAAAACAGGTTCTCGAGCCCATCGCGGCTCCGAGTTAAATCGGTCCATTCCCTGACCCAGCACTTCCCTGCAATTTTCTCTGTACCTTTACATGTACAAGCTGCCCCGCTGCGGCACCGTTTGTGATAGCGACACACTGGGGACACTCGTATGTCCGTCCCAACGAATGCTCTCCAGAATCTGATGTTAAATGGGAAAAGATGCAGACCATGATGAGCAGGCTGACAAACTCACAGGAAAGAATCGTTGCAGATTTGCTGGATCCAAGACGCCAGGGGTGGCCAAGGCACCATTAATTTAGGTGCCACTGTGAAAGACAGATTGCTGCTGATTAAACTGGCACGATGCTTAGTGTTTTGTATTTGAGAGCTCATTTAGACTTATTTAGACACGAATTTGAATCATATTAATTGGGGGCACAGATAAAAAAAGGAAAATATAGCCAAAATAAATATGTTAAGGTATCTAGTGGCATCAGGACAGCCCGGTTGTGTGACACATTCTGGCTTCAGATGCCAACATGTGGGAAACAGGGTGTGCCTTGGAATAGACAGGAGTATTGGTTTGTGTTTAGGAATTCTGGAAGGACACCCAAAAAATGCGTTGTGGGGAGGGAGGGAGGGAAGGGAATTGGACCAATGGGATGGGGAAGGGAGATATCTCAGAAATTTTTGGGAACAATGTGAATATACGACCTATTTAAAAGTAGGCCATTCCGTGTCATAGTCAAGACTTTGAACTTCGTTTGGAGGGGCAGCTCCCCTTTCCCCTCAGGGCCAGGGTTGCAGCAGAGGGGAGGAGCAGGAAGGGGGACTGCATCCTGTGGTCAGGGCAGATGCTTTGAGCGCATTCATGGCTCTTCAGATCTTGGTCCTCTGCCCTTGAGGAAGCCAAAGGTGGTCTCTGGCTGGCCGTAGGGACTCCTTCAGTCCCGGAGTCAAGGTCCAGCCTCCACCGAGTTCCCTCTGTCCCTCGTGGACCCACATCTGGGTCACGGGAGACACTGTACACCTTTTGGCCCGTAGACTCCAGGGATCCAGGCTCTCCCTGCCCCCGCACCAAGTTCTGTTTGCTCGCTCAGGCATGAGGCGGGTGCCTGACATCTTTGTAATCCCCAAGTGGTCCCTTGGCCAAGGCGGGAGGAAAACTCACTCCTTCTCCTGTGGACACCAAGCCCTCCAACAACTCCCTTTAAAGAAAACCCTTCTTGGGTCTCCAACTCCACCCTTGAACGTCCTGGGTGTGGGAGAGAGGCCAGAAGTCATACAGCTGGTTTTCGCTCACCTCTTCATAAACCCTGCACTCACCTTGGGAGGTGGCCATGCTGGACTCCCTATTGCCTCAGGACCTCAGCCAACTTGGGACAGAAATAGTTCCATCTTCGAATACTGTCACTGGGATGGGTGATCCAACTAAGGAACTCCCCAGGGTGACTCAGCCGGTACCCAGCAGGCTGACTCCTACGTAAGCCTGAGCTTTTCCTGCTGCAGGGGGTTCATCCACAACCGGCTTTCAAATAAGCTCGTGGCACAGAGAGCAGGAGGATGGGGTTAGACGCCCTGGGTGTGAATGTCAGCACTGCCACTCATTCATGGTGTCTCCTCGCAAGCTTTATTCAACAGATATGTAATGTACAGGGTGTCTACTATTTGTAAGGCACTAGGCTTCTTCCTCTGCAAGGATGTGAATAAATAAAAGCACCTGCCTCACAGGAGTGTTGAGAGTTCATGAGATCGTGCTTCATTGTCAACACACAACGCCTGGTCCATGATAAGGGCTCCATTAGTGGCAGCTACTGTTGCCATTTATAAAGTTCCTATTATGTGTCAAGTGTTTCACAGACATATTTAATCCCCACAGTATAAGAGGTAGGAACCACCATTCTCCTTCTTTTGTGGATGAGGAAATCAAGGTTCAGAGAAGTTGGGGTGACTTGTCTAAGGTCATACCTGGTAGAAGACAGAACCCAAGTTCAAAGCCAGATCTGCCTGCCCGCCTTCACATGCTTATCTCTCAAGGAAGGGAAAAGCTTTTGCCTCCTTGTCAGAACTGACCTCTAATCATCCTTCACAAACCAGCTCAAGGGCACCAGCTTCTGAGGAGACCCCATCATGCCTGGTCATCCCCCACCTCTGTCCTTGGGCCTGCCTTTTTCACAGCAGTAGAGACTCATGGGCAAGTGCTGTGGCTTTGCATTCAGGCAGTCAAGGATCAAATGTGGTTCTGCCTCTTACTCTGTGTGGCTTCAGGCAAGACCCCTAACTGTGCTAAGCCTCCGTGTCTTTTTTCATACAATCAGCAAACCATGGTACCTTTGGGTTGCTGCTAAACTGAGGTGAGGCACATGCGGGGCCTGACACAAAGTTAGTGTTCAGATAACGACAGCTGCTATTATTTTCACGGTAACTAAAGCCCTGGTCTTGATTTTGAGGGTCAGGAGAGGGAGCAGCAGGAAACCCACACTTCTGCATCAGTCGCTTCCCCTGAGTGAACTTGTCACCTTTAAGTTCTGTCCTGGAGGTGGGCATGAAGTGCTGCTGCCCCTCTGGAAAGCACTCTGGCAATGCCATAAAAGTCATAAGGTCCGAGCCTGGCTCTCGCTCCACCTGCCTGATTCCCCCCACGGCCACCTGCTGGGGGAGTGGCCACATCTGCACAGACTCCACCTGCAAGGCTGCTGGATGTGGTTGACAAGACGCATGACGTGCCCACAGGGGAGACTCATGCACACTGTCAGGAAGGGCATCATGACAGCAGCTAATGTGCTTTTTACTTGGATGAATTTGGGATAGCTTTCCATCAGGCTGTGCCCCATGCGTTATAACACATCCTTCACCTGGCCTATCTAATGCCGGGAGGTCCCCATACTCACGAATCCATTTTTACCCTGAATGCAGAAGCCCCAGAACCAGTGGCTGCTGAGGATCCCTACCACCCCTTTTTAAACCCATGAAAGCCTGTCCGGGTGGATGGATCTTTCCATCTGGGCTGCCCAGAACAAAAAGCCAGGACTGGACACACCTTTCCCCAAACTGGAACCTGACCAGCGCAAGCCCTGGCCCAAGAGCAGAGGGACTGTCTGCTGTGGTGGCTGCTGTTGATACAACAGCAAGCTGATCACCTGCCTTGCTTACTTCCTAGGACTGTTAAGGGCCCTTTGCAAACTATTCCAGATGATGCAGGTGGCAAGTGGGTGTTTTCATGATCTCTTCTGGTGTGTACTAATTCATGCAAGTAGAAGCCTGAGAAGTGGGTGGGTGGAGGTCTGGTGTATGCGTCCAGGGTCTGGTGTTGGCAACAGTGAACGTGTCCAGGGGCCCAGTAGTCAAGAGCTGAGCACATGGACTTTGGAAGCGGACAGGCAGCACCTCCCTGGGCAGTACCAGCTGTGACCTGGGCTCTGGGTTTTGCGCTGTCAAGTGGAACCCCGCGAAGCACTGCAGTACTTTTCCCGGCTGCTGCTAGCTACCTTCAGAGCAATCCATTAGAAAGTACAAAACTCCGTTGTCATTCTGGTTTTTAATGGTCAAGGTGACAACAGTTTACAGTTTTTCAAGACCCATGCGTGGTTTCCATAGTAACCTCCATCTGCTGGAGGGAACACGTGGTAGAGGCCACAGCCCCAGCAGGCCACTGCGCATGGGTTTGGGATCAAAAGCACCGAGCCAAGTCCCTTTCTCAGCAAGGGTCTTGGTTGAAACCACAAGCCCTTCTGCAGTGCTGGGTGGATGCAGTGTTGGTCCTTGGCTCATTGCAGGGGTGAAGCAGGAAAGAGGTGACTGGTGATGCCTGCCTAGCAGGAGGCTTGAGGCACGTTATGATTCCAAACCAGGAGACTCTGAGTCAGCGCTAATTCTGAGTCTTTGGTTCATTTACTAGGGAGGTGGGAAGGGCCTCCTCCCCCAAACCTACACAGGAAGACTTATGGGGTGGAAGGTCCTTACCATGTGGGGACAACTGCCTGGGTTTCTGTGAGTCAGAGGTCGGCAGGCAGGCAACTGTGAAGTGCAACCTGCTAACCAAAGCCACGTGGTGATGTTCCACTCACTTTCCAAATCCACTCAGCAGAAGCCTCCTGCAAATGCCAACAGTGAGAGGTGCATATAGCACAGGACGCCCACCCTCTTCTCCACAGCAGATACACCATGTGTCACTAGTGAACAGATCAATGGCATTTTGACTATTTCTTTTAGGCCAAGATACCCTGATCCTCAACTCACTTGGGTTGGTATGAGCTGTACCCTAGGGAAAAAAATACTCCACCTACCGCCTAGGTACACTCAGACTTCTGCACATGGAGCAATTAAGGCAAAGGCGGCAAATGAGATGCCCAGGAGGCCGTGGCCTGGAGGGTGAGGGAGGAAAGGAGAGGTTGGGTGGGCAGGCGTGCCGGCATGACAGAACCTCAGCTGGCCAAGCCTGGTGAGACTGGATTTCCCAGAGGTTGAGTAAAGGCGCCAGGAAGTACTCACTCGAAGATATCTGAAGGGGTTGTGCCTCTAGGTTAACCTCACACTCCAAGGACTCCGGCTGCTGCCCAGTTTTACTCAGGCAAGTGATAATCTATTCTTGTAGGAGCAAGTGGCTGCAAAGCCTCCTTCCACATGTCCCCTCCTTCCGTATAAGGGGGAAACCCTCCACGTCATCACCTTCGGGGCTCGCGGGTGGGACACACAAGTAGATGAGTGTTGTGTGCCACAAGTGATTTCTAAGCAGAAAGGACGGAAGGAAGTTTCCTCCATAGGCCCCCAGATAAGTATAATTTTAAAGCAATCAAGCCTGCTTCGGTGGGAGAGTTTCTGTACAACATGCTGGTGATAGTTCTTCAGTTTTTTTGGTTGTTTTTATTTTTTTCATTAAAGTCCATTGATCGTCACAAAAACCCAGGAAATGCAACTAAGGAGAAAACAAATGTCCAACCGATATCTAAGAACCCAGAGCTACGGAGGAGACGTGGCACTGGACTGCTGGGTGTGCACAAGGGGTGAAGGGCAATCCCCCACCAGGCAGGGCCACTGGCCATGGGAGACACAGGGGAGGCCAGGCACCGGCCAGGCTGTTATGTTAACCGCTGCACGATGACAGCATTGAGCAGGTTGGCTTCTTTCAGGGTCTGGCTCTCGTCAGCCAGCTCTTTGTTCGGGAAGGTTGTCATGAGGACAAAGCTGGTGGCAGCCATGGCCGGCCGGGCATCCACGATGAAGAGTCGGATGTCGCTGATCCTGGAGTGGGGAAGCAGGGAAGAGTGAGTGTGCCCTTCTCTGCCATCCACACCCACCCTGTAGAGGGCTGAGCACCCAAGTCCCTCCCATGCTCCGCCCTTTTCCACAGAGCTGCACCTGGGACCACATTCCTCTCTGGCGAAAGCCCTTCCCTTTCACTCCTGTTTTCCTTGGATAAACACCCACATCCCCATGTGGTCCCAAGGCCATTCTCTTCTCCTTCCTTTCAGTCCACCAGGCCACATTCCCTTCCCACATTTGATTCTTCTTTCTGGAGACTCCTCTGCCTGCTCCCCTTCCTGTGCTCCTAATCACACCTCAGGCCTGGGATCAAATGCCATCTCCTCAGGAAGCCCTCCCCCTCTGTCCCAAACTCCCTTGCGTATTTCTGGGATGATCTGACTACGGTCTCCTCCTCTAGCCCACAAAGTCTAGAAGGGCAGGAGGCCCTCAAACTATCTGTCAGAAAAAGCAATGGTCAACTGCCCAGTGCCAGGAATTGCCTCTTCAGACACTGCTTATTTCCTGAAAGTGGTGATCACGAGAACAAAATCACAAGAAACAAAGCCTCCTTCCCTGAGAGCACTTACACAAAGTTTCCTTCTGTCCTGAACCTCTAAAGTCTATGCAGCCTATAATTTGGCATACTTAAGAGCATGGACATGCAGGGTGTAGCCTGAGACTCTCGGCAAACCCAGTCCCCTCCCACAACAAAGCCCTCAGCATCGGCTGTCTACCCTGGAGCAAGCCAGTGTGCCGGGCTCATGAGGGACATGAAACTCAGGCAAATACTGCAGACTGGTTGGATGGTCATGACCCTTAAGCTCCAGGCACAAATGAGGTCCCTACGGAAAAAAGGTCTGAACAAGCCTCCAAGTGCGCCTGGTTCACACCTGGGTGTGTTTCAAACCTTTACCCACAGGGGAACCCATCACTTTGCAAAGACTGCCAAATCATTCAGTGGTCCCAAGTGTGGGCTCTGGCTTAGCTGGCCCACGAACGATGAATTTAGACACTTCTGCTCTAGAGAAAGGAGTTACCAAATATATTTACTGGCAACAGTCCTCCAGTGCCGCACCCCTCAACAAGTCTCTTTATTTTGCTGTGCCTCTGTTTCTACATCTTTAAAACGAGGGAGGCGGTTTTCCCTGATCCAGCCCAGATGGTCTGAGACAGGAAGGAGGTGAGCAGTCCCTAGACACATTGATGGAGGTGTGGGAACCAGGAAGGTTCACATGTGCAGTCTTTCCCACACTGCTGCCTCCTTCAGGGAAAGGGTGGAACATCGGCTGGTGTGGGAGGATGGCCCCTGCTTCCCACACCTATGCTGAAGTCTCAGGGACACACCTAGAATAAGCCAGACCAGATAACACAGGTACCTGTGGCTGTGGTTGAATTTCTGCACAAGCCTCCCGCCGTCAGCAAGCCGTATTTGGATATTTGTGGTGGGCTGTGACTCGTCGATTAAGATGGAAGAGCTGGCTTTGGCTTCGTTTTCTGCCTGCTGGGCTGGAGAGCTGGTACTCAGCACCTGGGGGGCTGTGCTGAGGAGACAGGATGGCGTCAGGACAAGAGCAGAAATGAGGTCCCCAGCAGGAGGGAAGCTCTTCATGGGCTTTTCCTGAGCATCTGCTGTATACCTGGCATCGCGTTTGCTGCTGCCAATACACTGACCCAGACAGCGAAATCACTATCCTTACGGAACTTACAGGGCCAGGAGGATCCACCTGAAACCCTGAGTCATGCGCTACTATAGCTCCCTCACTCCTGAGGAATGCTGGCCACGTCACTCTGCCTTCTCCATCCTTGGTGTCTTCACAGGAGGAGGGGACTGAAGGAGGAAAGCAGGACAGCCTGGGGTGGGAGGCAGGGTCATGAGTGGAAGATCCAACTGATAGGGATGGGTTTCATTTCCATGCAGTGGCAGAGGGAAGCAGCCCAAGCCTGTTGTGGGGACAGCCTTGGCACAGGCTGGCAGGTGACTTGCAGGATGTTAGAAAAGCAACTCAGACTCTTCCCTGCGATGGAAGTTTCCAGGCCGGCATCCCCAGTGTCCCTCACTCATCCCCACAGTGTGGCTCACGCATAAACTACTGGGAGAGGGGAATCTTCCTGAAGGGCACTGAAGGCCAACTGAGTGAACAGGACACGGTATCCGCCACAGTGCTTAGAATTGGACGGACCAGGGTTTGAATTTACTTACTAGCTATGAGATCTTGGGCAAGTTACTCACACACCCTTATTTTCAATAAAGGTGGTAACAAAATGTGTAACAAGGTTTGAGGCTGCAGACCTTGCTCAGCCTCTGTGAAGATTAAAGGGAAGAATGACATAAAGCACTCAGGGGGCCTGACAAACACAAAATGCAAGAGACCCCCATTCTCCATGGCTGTTGGAGCCCTCTTCTCTCCTCTAAATCACCCACTGCCTCACTCTTAGCCTTCCTTCTATGGCTTCCCCTCGAAGACTCTCATTAGATCAGGTCCTCTACCTTATCCTTCACAGCCTGAAACATGATACCTGAGCATATCCAACTGAAAGCTCTTTCCAGAGGGTGTCCACAGAACCCTTGTCTCCGAGTTATCCTCGGAAAGGCTTACAAGTGCTCCAGATGACACACAGTGTCAGATGCCACTGGCATACTGAAGGTCTCAAGAGAGTGTGCAGTTAAATATTGACCCGGAGCACATAATTAACAAAGAATGACTAGAAAGTGAACTTTTTCTTTTCTGTGAATGTCAAAAATATGGGTTTTGCCAATGACAAAGTAGAGCTGAGAGGAGAACGTGGCCACACTGCCTAGTGACTACACAGCCTAGCTATTACAGCAGCTGCTTCTAAGTGTCATCCTCACAGCCCATGGAACACAAACACAGTCTGGACACACAGACAAAGGACACCATCACAGGCCTCAGGAGCTGCCGGAAATAGCAGAGAGTTCCATCTGACACCTGCAAATGCCCAAGAGCTCATGGGTTTCATGGGCATTAGGTCAACTCTTCTACTGGAGTTCAGGCAACCCATCCCTCCACTAGCCATAACAATTTAAAGAATGCAATAGGTGCTCACTGAAGCTACTGCCTGTCACAAGGGAACTCAGGCCTAAACTGAGAAGGAAGCTGTTACTCCAAAAGTAGCCGACACCTATTCAGGTAAGGGGTGGAGAAAACAGAAGTGACAATTAGGCCTGCTTGTATAGATGCTGTCCGAAGGGGCTTCTGTAGCCATGGCCTCACTGAGTCATCACAGCCATCCTTTGAGATGGTATGATCTCTATGTTATAGATGAGAAAACAGAAGCACATGTTGTCGACCAGTTTCACCAATTTTGAAAACGTATGCAATGAACAAGTTTTCTTCCTCTATATAGTCTGTGTATTCCCACCAGCAGGACTTGTCAAGCTTTACTTTCTATGGTTTCCTTTAGGAAAATAATACTTACGTTGAAAATACCTTCCTGAGCTTTTTCCCTGCCCCCATGTGCTCCTCATTTATGAGCTGGTGACCCTCAGCATGTTATTAAACGTCTTGGCACCTCCATTTCCTTTTCCATTTCCTTCTTCGAACTGTCATACTCTCCCCACCAGCTCTACACCTTTGAGGGGAGGCAGCCAGTCTATGGCAGCCAGTGAGAGTCAGTGTGATGCTGGAGAAAGCACAGGCTTTGGAGCAGTGCCACTTGCCATCTGGCCTCGGCTTTGCCCCTAAACTCCATAAGCATGTCACTTAACTTCCCAGGGATTCAGTGTCTTCATGTGTAAAACGAGGAGCTGTTGTGCTGCCAGGATTAAACGAGATAATGCATGCTCAGTGCCGACATTTAGTAAGTCTTCCACATAAGCAAGCAACACTTGGGCTTTCTTCCCAGCACAGCCTCCTATAGAGGGCTGGTGCTAATCACAGGGGGTTGAGGATAGCCTGACGTCTGTACTTGGCTATGCTTCAGCTGACTGACCATTTCTCTTACTCCCTAAACATAAGGTGAGGTGAGTGGCATGATGTATATGGTGACTGTTTACGAGGCACCCGTTCTTGAGCCAGGCCCTAAGCTGAGTACTTTACATGTATGAACTCACTTAATTTTCACAATAGTCTATCAGGTTGGAACTTATCACCTCAACTTTTCATACGAGAAAACTGAGGCACAGTGGGGTTAAACAATTTGCCCAAGATTCCAGTGTTGGTTGGAGGTGGAGCCAGGGGATAACCTAACCCAAGCTGCCTGGCTCTAAGTCCCAACTATCTTAAAACCATCATACTCTCTACCTAGGCCTTAGAGTCAGACAGATCTGGCCCTGGATTTCAAGAACTTTGCCCCCAAGCCAGTTTCCTCATCAATAAAACAGTTAAAATCTCCCAGCTAGTTGAGAAAACAGCTAAAAATATACGCCGTACCCAGCAAACACTAAAAGCACAGATGTCTATGTGGCCATGCAAGAATACCCAGGATGCAACACAGCATGGCGGATGAGAGCAGACCCAAGGAGACTGCTCTGCACTGGTCAGCACTATGGCGCTGGGCTGACTGGGTCTCGCCAAGCCTCACAGTCCTTATTTGTAGAATGGGGACCAAAATGCAATGAAAGGAGACAGCATATGTCAAGGGCTTATTACAGTGCTCAGCTATAGTAGCATAAAACACTCAAATAGCCAACTGTTATCATTCTTCAAGGTCTTGCCCCACTTATATTTGCCCCAATTCTGGACCAAAATCAACAGGAAAAACTACTGGCTGTCCATAGGCTGCAAGTAGAAGGCCACCTGAGAGGTATTCCCAATGGGTGCTGCTCTCAAAGAGGATGGGGAGTGGAAGAAGAGGAGAAATCTCAGTATCAGGCCTCCGACACATCAGATAATAAGAGCAAGACACTCAGAATGCTCTAATCATCCCACAGGACAGTATCTGTGTGCCTGCTCCAAGGAGGCGGCCTCTGCCTGGCCTTCTGTGTGCTGCCAGCAGCCAAGCTGCTACTCTCAAGAAGTGTAGTTGGTCTTCTGCAACAGTGAGGGTGTTTCACCCCCAGGCAGGAAAGGTCAATGCAGGCACCTATGAAAGGCGTTTTAGTGTCCCTGTAAACACCACAAAGAGTTATGGGGAAATGGAGTCTTGCTCAGATGGAGAGTCTGAATCACCTGCTGCCTGTTGCCTTCATAGTGGGAATAGACTGGCACAAGGTATTTTCTTGACAAAATTACAAATTCTGAGACTTGGCCACTTCCTTCACAAGAATGACCACTCCTAAAGGTGAAGGCAGCAGTCAGAGCTTATGCAGCAGCAGCAACACTTGCCCTAGGCCCAGGTGGACTCCTGTTGCTTGCAACTCAATCCATCAGATTTGTTCCCAACCAAACCAATGTACACTCTAAAACAAACAAAAAAACATTTAGTACAACCTAAATAATTCTTCTCAAACTCTTTGACCTGAGAAAACGTATTCATTCAAAGTATTTTTCCAGGTAATTAAAGAAAAAACCCATTTTGACACAAATCTGAGAACTTTCTTTTAAACTTTGGGCTCCTGATTATTTTGGTTCACAAAAAGACAAAAGAAAATGTAGCAAAATTTATGGGAAAAATGAGCGATGACATCGTCCACCTGATTAAGACCAAAAAGTTAAAATCCCAACTCACTTAGATATATACAAGGATTTTTTTTTAAAGCTCAGTTTTAAAAGCTGAGAAAAAGCCAGAAGTGAAATAAAATGCAATGGTAACTAGCAATGAACATTTGTTTTGTTGCTCAACATCATGCCTAATTATCCAACTCTATCTCAACTTGCTGGGTTCTTCCTCCACAATAATGTTTATTCCTATTCCTGCTAAAGTAGACTTCCTTAAAAACACGTTTCTTTTTTTTTTTTTTTTTTTGGTTCAGGTCTCAGTCTGTTGCCCAGGCTGGAGTGCATTGGGACAATCACAGCTCATGGTAGCCTCAAACTCCTGGGATCAGGCAATCCTTCCGCCTCAGCCTCCTGAGTAGCTGAGACTACAGGTGTGCACCACCACACCCAGCTAATTTTTTGATTTTTTTGCAGAGATGAGGTCTTGCTATGTTGCCTAGACTGTTCTCGAACTCCTGGACTCAAGCACTCCTCCATTCTTGGTCTCCCAAAGTGCTGAAATTACAAGTGTGAGCCACCACTTCCAGCCCATTTTAACTTTTTGAAATGCAGTGTCTTGCACATATAGTTAGACCTTCCAATAGTAGAGGCATTTTCTGTTAGTATTATGAAGTCAAACACAAACTGCCTGGTGTTCTGAGTTCTGAACCCTCCCTTGTAACTGGTGGTGGGAGTAAAAAACAAATACTACCTTTTTGAAGGGCAATTTGACAACATCTTAAAAATATGAAGCCCTTTCAAGCCAATAATTTTACTTTTTGCCCAAGATTAAGGAGTATACAAAGATTAATTACAGAGATATTCACCACTATGTTGTTCATAATACCAGCAGCTGCCTAAGTGTTTAACAGTAGAGACTGGTTAAATTACAGCACATCCATGGGACAGAAACTTATGCAAGCATTATAAATAAATATAGAACTATATTACCTGACACAGAATGACAGCCATACTTCACTGATAAGGCAAAATGCCGGTGATAAAACAGCATTTTATAAGCACACATTGTGTAAGCGGATGAGAGCAGAAGGATATACCTGCCAGATACTAACTGGCTATTTCTGGGTGGTATGCTTAGGATAGTTTTTATTCTTTAGCTATACTTTCCATTAAGATGGACATGTTTTATTTTAACAACAACAAAAAAATTATTAAGTGTTCTATAAAGCTCATCACAAGTAACAGGAAAGTCCCCTGTGAGAATGGCTGGCCTGGGCTGGCCCTCTGCCCCCAGCGTGGGGCATGCAATGAAGAGCAAGGCTGCCTTAACTATTTTGCACCTGGTAAACCTAGCATCCTGAGCTCCAACCCTTGCTCCTGTTGAGGCGTAGGGGCAGACAGAAGGCAGGGGATTCCAAGTTAGGGCCAGCCAGAAGCTCACAGTGCACAGCTGCTGGAAGACCAAGCTGATCCCTCCAGATGGTAGTGAGGTGGCAAGGGCAGTGGCTACCTTGGGTGCTGCCTGACTTAGGTCAGAGAGGGTGCCTTGCTGTACAAGAGTGTGAGAAGAAAAGCCAATCAGAAGGCCTAGGTTCCAGTCCTGGCATGTCCCTAAAGTCCAAGAGCCTTGGCCTTCCCTCTGCAAAATAAGGATCGCATTGGCAAGGAGGGCCACCATGCTTGTCACGTGCACGGTTGCCTCTGAAGAACACCGACCAGGGAAGCCCACAGCCATGGCCAGAGCTAAGCAGGTGTTGAGAGAAGGGTCTGGCAGCAAAATTCTGCCTAATCAGGGATAATGGCGACTGTTAATCGATCAGATCCCATCAGAGAGTTTGAACGCAAGACTGAGAATATCTGTTAGTAGAGGATACAGAAGCGAGAAGTGGCAGAGGACACAGGGTGGAAAAAGTAACAGGACTGATTGAGTGAGAGTCAGAAAGAGTCAAAGAAGATGAGAGCTGCTGGGCTGCCATGATGGTAGAGCATCAGTATGCACAGGGCAGCAAGGTCCTGGCACATCCCTGGATCCTGAGCAAAGCCACTGGGAGGCCTAGCTGGCTGGAAGAGTCAGAAATTTCTCATTCCCCTTGGAATCTCCATTTTGGCCTTAGGCCATCAAGAAAATCACAGCCTGCCTGAACACCCCAGATTACTGAGCCAAAGTAACAGTTATGTTACCCTTTCTGCTTATACTGACTACTCACTGAAAGGCAGTGGTCTATATGCATTGGCTCATTTAGGTCTCCCAATAATAATCCCGGGAGATACAGACACTTATTAGTACCACTTAATAACTGAGGAACCTGAGGCAATACAGTCCACAGTCACACAGCTAGAGAGTGAAGATATAAACTCAGGTCTGTTAACTCCAAAGTCCATGTTCTCCATACTCTTCCTCTCATAAAAATAAAATGTGAAGTACTTTGTAAACAGTAAAGAGCTAACCAAAGTGAGTGTGACACCAGGTCTGCTGTGTACACCAGGTCTACTGACAGTCCAGCTCCCACCTGTGCTGATCCTTACCTGCCCAGTTTCTGACCCTCGCCAGTGAAGGCTTTGAAGGCTCCCTTGGGCTTCACGAAGTCCTCATCCCGATGGTCTTCCATATCCAAATTCACCTGCCCACCATGAGCTAACCTCCGCAGCTCTGCCGGCACCTCCCTGCGGGAGAAAAGGCCATGCTGGTGTCCACAGAGAGCGACGGAAATGACAGGGATGAGCTGAGGGGAGGAAACCCTCAGTTCCAGTGGTGAAAGCTGCTAGGCCTCGACAGAGAGTAGGCACCCTAGTGGCTACCTGTCTGCTTCCACTTTCTCTCCTGCCTGCTTAGTCACGACAGACACCTATTTCTTATTTGGCCACTTGGGACTGCCATAGGCCCAGGGAGGAAGCAGGGACATGCAAGAATTTTGGAGCCGATCTATGAATGTGTATCTCAACTGTACTAAATCTGTTTCAAAAAATTTACTTCTAAAATAAATGTTCTACTTCTTCCTTTCCCAACTGCTATCTCATTCACTGATCCAGGCCCTGGAGTAGGACTTTTCCACTCACCCTCTGCGGATGGACTCCAGAAACTGTGCATTGGATGGGTCTTGGTAGCTTCTCAGGTCTCCATTGTCCAGGCTAAAACCACTCTTCCAGAGCTTCAATACTACATGAACCTGTGAGGATAGAAGGCAAGCAGTTAATACACTGCCAGGAGCCTGGCAAACATGCCAACTTGAACCTCAAATCAGCAGGTTTATCTACTATTTCACTGTGTTGCCACTATTAAAACAGACACACACATATACCCATGCATGCAAAGGAAAACAGACAAACTAACTAAATAAGCATTAACTTAAACTAGGAAGGTGGCATGGCACAGGTGAAGAACATGGACTTTGTCTTACAGAGACCTGGGTTTTTGTCTTTACCCTGCCTCTCACTAGCCAGGTAACTCTCAGCAGGTGACTCAACAGAAGCTGTGGCTTCCTCATCTTGGATTGCCAGTAGGCCTGGTATACAGTGCCCATTCAGCTGAACTACTATGGCAAATATGCTCATGGAGTACTCTGCAGTCATTAAAAATGTTATATCTACACTTTTTGTTAACAACTAAAAATTAATATGTTACCAGCTGCTGCCTCAGGTGGGTGGAATTTTCATTTTCTTTTTGCTTGACTTTATTTTGGAATAAAAATCAAAATGATTTAAAACACACATCACAGAACTTACTGATCACAAGGCTGAAAGGAAATGTGGCATAATATTAAATGGAAGACTCAAAATTGTCTATATATTATGATTACATCTATGGGAGGGGACCCTATGCACAGGGGAAAAAAGTACTGGATAATGATGAAAACTAAAATAACAGTTGCATTTCAGGCCTTCTCTAATGGTCTAAAGACCAAGTTCTTCAGCCACATCCACACTGCCAGAAAACCCCAGATACGTGGTGCTCTGTCTGAGATCCATGGACTGCTCAAAAAACGCCGTCATTTGTTTATCCCCTTCCCCACCTGTTCTTAGCCCCTTGCCAGGCAGATGAAAGCTGCCTTTGATTTTCTGGCAAGCGTCTGTTCATGAACCACAACAAGGGTGCCATCTCCGTAAGTTTCCCTTTAGAGGCAGCGGGTTAATGCACATATAACCAATTCCTTTTGAAAAACAGCAGAACACATAGTCCACAAGCTTCCTTTAGGAGAAGGGAGATGCACACTCACATCTTGGCTGGAATGCTGCCTCCTTTCTCCTGCCACATAGGCAGATTCTTCCTCTGGTGCTGCCCCAAGGCGGTAGCCACCTCCCGCAAATGGCTGTGAAGGACACATTCATACATATTTGAGGGGATGGTCTACGGCTGGTGGGCTTACTTAGACACAATGATGTATGTCTTAGGTAAGTGGGAGAAAGAGGACAGCAGAGTTCCTGATCAAGCTTATTAACTACTAGATTCACTTTCTCTGGTGTCCACATGGTCAGGCAGTAGGGTAAATGAATTAAGTCGCCATGAATAGGGTGAGAGCTCAAAGGGGTAGGGTGGGGGGCGCAGGTGCCTGGCTAAGGGGAACAGCTAGATAAGCATTAGCCTAGATTAGTAAGGTGGTGTGGCACAGGTGGAGAACATGGGCTTTGTATTACGGATACCTGGGTTTGTGTCTTTACTCTGCCACTCACTAGGCAGATAGCTCCAGGTACTAAGTTCTACTTAACCATGGCCATGTAGGAATCTGGGTATAGGATAATACCAAAGACTTTTTGATTTTCCCAAGGAAGACAGAAACTCAATATTTTACATCTAATAGACGACTATTAATTAAACTCAAGAAAAAAAAAACCAGAGCAAAAACACCAAATAGATCAAATTGGCTAGGCTTATAGAAACTGATCCAGACTACAGGCCACAGGCCACAGGTTTGAACTTTGTCCCAAATATTGATTTCATGTTCAAGGGTAAGAAAAGTTACACAAGTGTTCTGCATAGGAGATCAAGTGAGAAAATGAAAACACCAAAAACAAATCAGTCAATACTGGGGTGAAGACCTCCTTCCCGGCTCTGGAACTAGAGTCTCGTGGCACAGATGACCACTCTTGTGCTCACTCTAGGTTTACTGGTCTCTCCAGGGCTCTTGGTCACTCGTTCCACAGCTACGGCTCCATGCTCCTTGGCACCTTTAAAGAGATCATCCACTAGCTCGTTGGGACTTTTCTTCCTTGGAGGGCCAACAATCTGCTGTCCACTTCTCTCTGAGCCCCCAGCGTAAAACCTGTGTAGAAAATACATCTTTAATACTAAATGAACTTGGGAAATATGAATAGAGCATGCGCCACGTTATGGGCTAGGTGCTGGGCACACTGAAGAGAAGGGTGTAATGCCTGTCTTTAAAGAACTTACTGGTTAGCTGGGGACACATGGAAGGAGGCAGGCAGGTACAATGTAATGTTATCGGCAGTAAAAGTCAGTAAGGGGTTTCTGGAAACACTGAGCTGAGAAGGACAGCCAAGGCATTCTAGAAGGTTGTTTTCTCAGCCGACTTAGGAGATGAAGATGAGTTTATCACGTGAACAAATTGGGGAAGGGCATTCCAGGCATGCACAAAGCATGTCAGCTCAGGAGAGTCCCAGCTGGGAATCATCAATCTGGTGGCCAGCACCACTCCAGGAGACAGCAACTGCCTGTGGTCACAGTCAAAAGCAGCTACCACTAGTGGCTGTGGGTTAATAATGGCACTGGTGTGATTAGTACAAGCAGATAGGCTCCAGTCCTGGCTCTGCCCCTGTAAGTACTCCGTAACTCACTTTCCTTGTCCTTAAAATGGGAGGGAAGGATCACATGCCCTACCTACCTGCTCCTTAAGTCAGGGCCGTGAGGTTCAAATCAGCAGATGTATGCAAAAGAACAAGCACAGAGGAATGCACACATGTAAGATGGTGTGAAAGCACGGAGAGCTCCCCCAAGCCTTACCTCACCTTACCATTGTTGTGGCATACACTGGGGGCCCTGAGGGGAGGGTACTGGAGGTCAGAGAATCTCCAATCTCAAATATAAGACACCCACATTGGGCTTTGCAGCAGACCAGTTAAGGTCTGAGATTAACTTAGTACATTTTAATTTGGGTCTGAAAGCCAGTTGTCACGCAGCCTTGCCAGCTGTCTCCTATCACTCCTATTCACAGCTAAGTCAACAGCACGTCCCTGAGTGAGAAATATTGAGAACCTATACAAATTAGTCTCAGCCCTCTATTTCCTGACATTCACCAGGGAACATGGGGCAAAGCCATAGACCCTGGCAAGGATGATAGTACCAGTGTCCTTTCAGGTCTAAAATGTTGAGGGCCCAAGGAAGTAACAAGGATGTGGAATAAAGGAAGGTCATAGCCTGGACGATGTGACTGGATGGGAGGAGGAGGTCATTCACATGATGACATTGCCTCTTACTCAAGGAATGTAAAATCCTGAAATGAGCACATACATTCCTGAAACTGAGTGTATTTAGAAGGAAGGTTCTGAGGCAGTATGAAGGTCACAATATGAATAAAAACAGAAAAGAATATACATGTAATTTCTCGGCCTACTTCCCAAAAGACTGACCATAATGAGGTAACTACATTTCCATAACGGTTATTATACAATGTTCCTCAGGAATGTTTGACAGACCGAGGCAGATCCCATGAAGAGGCAAAACCCATGAAATGAGGATGTAGCCAGTTCATTCTTGTTCATTCTAAGTAGATGAAGTTCTGTCCAATGGACTATAAAGTCTTTATTAAGGGATCTCAAAGTTCTGGCTTAAGAACTAGAAGCCTGTCAAGAGCCTTGAAAGTATGCATGCCCTTGACCTGGTGTTACCATTTCTAAAAATGGTTATAAGAAAATATTCTGAAACGTGGTAAAAGATTAATACACAAAGATGTTCACAGCACTGATATTTATAGTTGTAAAGCACTGGAAACAACCTAAATATTGGCCATCCCATATGCTAGATTATTATTATAACCACTGCAAATGCTTATAAATAATTTTTTATTATTGTTGTCCAGGCTGGAGTGCAGTGGCATGATCACAGCTCAGGCCGTGAACTCCCGGGCTCAGGCAATCCTTCTGTCTCAGTCTTCCTAGTAGCTGGGTCTATATTCGCACACTACCACACCTGGCTGTTTTAGTTTTTCATAAAGATGAAGTCTCACTATGTTGCCTAGCCTGATTTTAAACTCCTGGGCTTAAGCAATCCTTCCTTCTCAGCCTTCCAAAGTCCTGGGATAAAAGGTATGAGTCAACACGCCAGGGCACTTATAAGAATTTTAATAACACGGAGGAGTGTTTGAGATGTAGCACTAAATCAACAACAAACAAAATTATCTGACCTTCCCCATTTAAAATATAAAACAAAGTATACTTATATACAGAACAAAGACTAAATGGAAATAGGCCAATATATTAACTGTAGTTACCAAAAGAATAGATGAGTGTTATATTTTTTCATTATACTAGTCTGTATATTCCACAATGAACATTTTTATTATAATAACATTTCTCAAGGTTAAAAATAAACAGTAGATATGTGTGTGTGTGTGTGTGTGTGTGTGTGTGTGTGTGTGTGTGTGTGTGTGTACTGGGGGAATGTATGTTTATAAACCTATTATTCTGTTTATTACATGCTTAAATTAAAAAGTTGGAAAGAAATTAAAAAACTGATACCAGGTTACATATGGATTGTGATAAAATGAATGATTTTTTCCTTTTTTTTTAAAATTGTAAATTGGCAACTTATAATTGTATATACTTAAGGGGTACAAAGTGATGTTATGATTTATGAATACAATGTGGAATAATTAAATCAAGCTAGTTATACACCATATTTCCTTTATCCACTCCTCTGTTGATAAGATATGTAAGCTGACCACATAACTTTGCTCCTGTGAATAGTGGTGCAGTAAGCATGCGAGTGTAGACATCTCTGGACAAGTTGATTTCAACTTTTTTGGGTAAAACCCCAGAAGTGTGATGGATCCCTTCTTCCTTCTTAAAAATTTGTTTTCCTCTCCTCAATATTCTTCAATAAATACACATTATTTTAATTAAAAAACAAAAAAACCAAACCCAGAATACCATAAATACACAAATAGCAATGGTGCAGGGATCCCTTCTAAGATACAGAGAGTAGGAGACCGTTCCTAGGATACAAGCCCACAGTAGTAATGGCCAACAACAACTGAATATGTTTACCAGGTCCTGTTCTAGGTGATTTACACATTACAATGGCTTTTCCTATGAACTGTGTCCCGACCCGCTGCCATCAGACTCACCTCTGACCTTCCTCCTCCTCCTCATCCTCATCTTGGTCATGAATGAGGTCCCTGAAGGATGTCACCCTATTATCACTGGAGACACAGAAAGGAGCAAAATGATCTTAGGGAGAGCCAAAGAAAGGTGGTTCTCATCGCCAGCTGCTAAGCAGCTGAACACATTGAGGTTAGATTCTTTTATTTTTGGTGGATGGCAGGAGGTGTATGGTAGAAAAAGAATAACTCCCTAATTTTACATGTAAAATAACACAACATCTATTTCTTTAAGGTCACACAGGACTGAGAATAAATTAAAGAGAGCTACTGTGAGGTAAAATGGAATCTAATTTAAGCTGTTTTGGCTTTAATAAAAATTAAAAAGTATTTATTAATACCAAGCCCCCTACATTAGAACAAGTTCCATTCTGAGAGTCCGTTCATAAGTCCAATTTATTAGTAAGTTCAACAAAGTTAGCCTAGGTATCCAACTAACATGCTGGCTATATAGTACTGTACTGTAATAGGCTTATAATACTTTTCACACAAATAATAAAAAAAAAAATACAAAAAAGTAAAACATTTTTAATCTTACAATATAGTACCTTGAAAAGTAGACGCTTGCTTATGGACATCCTGGGCTTGAAATAAAGATACTGTACTACTGTACTCTATACAGTACTATAAAGTACCCCAAAGCACAATCATTTGTAGAGGATGCACATATGTGACAATGCACACCAGACACGTGAACTAACTTATGTGACTGGACACGTGAAGGCATGTTTGCATCTATGAAAGCTTACAACTTGAAGGTCCATATGTAGGAGACTTACTATATTTAGAAAAAACAGTATTGTGTGGGGTGGGTACAACTAATAATGAACGTGAGAAGGATTAAGTAGCACAGACAAAGTTTGCACTAATTTAAAAACTTTACTGAATAGCAGCTCTCATCATTTATTTAATTTTTCAATTCTGAGAGAATGCCTATAATACCAGGACTGAGTTGGACGTTAGGTCTATAATTAGACACAGTTCTTACCTATGAGTTATGTAATAGCTAGTGGCAAAGATAGGCCAGGAAACCATCCATTAAATGCTGTGCAATAAGGGTGGTGACAGATGGAGGTACACAGGGCCATGTGAGCATAGAGCCTCTTGTTCTGGGTGGGGAGTAGGGAGAGATGGGGGAACATCAAGAAAGTCTTTCCAGAAAAACGCATTATTAGGACCAAGTGCCAAAGAACTGGTGGACAGTCAGTCAGGTGAATAAAGTGGGGTAGGGACTGGTGGGAAAAGAAGATTGGTGCAGCATTACAGAAAAGAAACATATGCAAATAAACCGAGATCAACGAGTGTAGCCCATTAGAGAAAGGATAAATAGAAGAAACAAAATGAAAATGTGGGTGACAGCACTGGAGGAGAAAGCCTCTGTCTGGCCTGCTATGCAGATTAGTCAAGAAAAAGTATTTATTATTAATATTTAGGAAAGAAGCAGTGTTGTGTGGAATGGGCACAACCAAACGTGAGTGTGAGAAGGGTTAACTTCCTCCACTGATGTTTGTCTTCCACTGCCAATTCTCCCTAATTTAGATCTGTCCTCAAGGAACAAGCTCAGTTTTTCATGGACCATGAGATACAAGTTTCATAAAGATAAAAAAATTTTTATATTTTTTAGGGGGAGAAAGGTAGCTTCCCTATGAGAAAAAGAGGGTAATACAGGTTTAGTGAGGCCAAGAAAGAGGAGGATTGCTTACTAGGAAGAAGGCTCAGTTCCATGTTGAAGACTTATGTCAAGGAGACAACCAGGGGACAGAAGAGGCTCTGAGTTGTAGAAATGAGAGGACAAAGATAATCAACGTAGCACATTCACTCCCTATGTGAGTTAGTGGCTGAGAGCTGAGCGCAGTCTTAGGCACTCGTTGATGCTCAGTAGGACATGGCAGAAAAGGAAAGTGGTAAGATCCATACTAGGGCCCTAAGGGGCTAATGCCACTCACTCATCTTCCCAAGGGGAGTTTTCTATAGATGTTCAATCCAAAGTCTTCGAATGACTGGGCTAGGATGAATATCTATGGGAAAAAAAAATCCTCTTATCTTCCTGATGTTAAACACTTTCAAATATACATGCGTACACCTGCTTGAGCAAATCAGTTGCTCAGGTCATGGGTTTGTGTTTTCCCCCTAAAATTTGTGCATCCAGACTGGGATGGCATCTGACAGAGATCCTGGTGTCCACATACCTGATTCTAGTCCCAACTCTGCCTCCTACCCCTGGGAGCTTGAGTTTGCTATGTGTGTCCTCCAAGCCTTCATGTTCTCACATGTAAATGGAGATGAGCACAGTCCCCACCTTCCAGGCTTCCTGAGTACAGGTAGGCACTGGTGCATGTTAAGATTTTTGCCTGGTGCAGCACATGTAAATACTACTCTTGAGTAGCATTCATGGGCCAGGGGTATCAGCATCACAACAAACCTGTGAGGAATGCAAGTCCTCAGCACCACCCTCCCCTTAATCGTCCTGAGTCAGAAACTCTGGAAGGGGTGTCTAGCAACCTGGTTTTAAGAAGCCCTCCAGGACTGGAGCGGTGGCTCATGCTTATAATCCCAGCACTTTGGGAGGCCGAGGTGAGAGGATTGCCTGAGCCCACGGATTTGAGACCAGCCTGGGAAACTTGGTGAGACCTCATCTCTACAATAAATCAAGAAAAATTAGCTGGGCCTGATGGCGCGTGCCTGTGGTTCCACTTACGTGGAAGGCTGAGGCAGAAGAATCACCTGAACCTCACAGGTCGAGGCTGAGTTGGCCGTGAGTGTGCCACTGCACTCCAGCCTGGGTAAGAGTGAGACTCCGACTCAAAAAATAAATAAATAAAGAAGCCCTCCAGGTGATTCTGATTCTGACACATATACAAGTTTGAGAACCATTGCTCTGTAGTAAGGCTTTGCATTACTTTATGGCATAGATGTACTGGAGACATTGCCAATTTCGGAATACTTTGTTTTATGAGAAAGTTCTCCATGGACTGGCAAAATCTCAGAAAGTTCAATTTTTCTGTATTAATACTATCTCCCAGGCTACTCTGGCACCCTGAAATGCCACAGAAGTCCTTTGTCAGATCACATTTTCCTTAGCTCTGTGGCAGCACCCCTTTGGGAGGATTGAAATGCCATTTCTGCACTGTCCAATGGTGAAGCCACAATGCACATGTGGCTGAGCACTTGAAATGTGGTCAGTGCAGATGAATAACTATGCTTGTTTTATTGAATTCTAATTAATTTAAGTAATTAATGGCTATCTTGTTGAACCATATAGTCTTACAGAGAATCAGACAATGGTGCTCCCTGAAATTCTAAGTGTAACATTTTTTTGGATGAAAGGGGATAAAAAGGGAAGAAAGCATTACCTCTTGCTCAACTCGGTGTACAGGGTTGGAGGGGCTGGGCAGGGAGGTAGCATGTTGCAGCAGGAGCAACTTTGGATTTACACAGACTTGGCTTTACATTTGCCATAACAGCAGCTGTAAGCTACTCAGCCTTCCTACTCAGCATCCTGACATGCTGGTGGAGCCAGACAGATGGTGAGTGCCCCTGAAATACCTGTTCTCCCACTTCCAGAAACTTACAATTAAGTTAAATATCAGGAAAAGAGTTCAGGGTAACGTAAGAGAGATGTTACCCAGTACTACATAGATACAATCAAAGAAGTGAATGAATTATAGCAGTGACAGGAACTCTACTCGGGGGTTAGGGGTAACATACTCAACAGAGGAGTGGAAATGGACATGAACATGGGGGGATGCCCAGGATTTGGAGAGGTAGAAAGCTAGAGAGCAGGCACGTTCAACCAGGCAAGAGGCTCAAAAGCAGGAACACAAAAATCAGGAAAGAATTGGGTCACCTAAGAAATCAGTTTGGTTGGAACAAAGGATTTAAGAACTGAAGAAAAGTGGGTAAGGTTAGAAGGTAGGTTCAGGGCAAACCCTGAATGCCCACATGGAGAGGCAGTACCTCATTGTGGCAGAGAGCTGAGATGCTGAATGCAGAAACAGCCCTGCATTTAAATCCTCGTTTTAGTAGCTCTGTGATCTTGGAAAGATACCTAGCTTTGGTGCCCTCATCCGTAAAGTGGGGGAAAACAACAGTATTCACCTCATAGAGTTGTTTTAAGAACTAAAAAGATGTGTATATAAAAGCCTAACCTGGTGCCTGGTAGCTCTTAAATACTCAATAAATGGCAGCTGTTATTGCTGAAATTTAACTTTCTCCCACAGCAGTGGGAAGAATTTCTATGTCCCACAGCCCTTGGAGAATCTCATAAAAACGATGAACTCCCCTGCAAGAAAAGATACCTGCCAACATACACACAAACTTCTGCCTACAATTTCAGGTAATTTATACACCTTCTCACGCTCATTCCATGGATTCCTCTGGGGTTAGGGAGGGACCCCTTTAAGAACCCCTCCTCTAGAGCTGAGTGTTGCTCCAAGGCAGCAGTGACAACATGAAAGGGTATCTGAGAAGCCAGTGGGGGAGGGAGAGAGCCAAGTGTCCTGTGACAGCCAGGTCCATGACGGGGAGGCCCACACAGAACTCCTCTGAGGTGCTAGCACAAGTTGGGCTTCTCCTGAATAAGGACAATAATGCAACATACTGTATCCTTCCTTCCCCTTTTCTTTGGCTTCATCTAAACCCAGTCTGAGGCCTAACCAAAGTGACAAGGCAAGACCTCTTGGCCTGAATGCGTGTCCAGGCTTCTAGTCATTTCAGTTGTAATGTTGGACTCGCCTATTTTCTTGATTTTTACTTTTATGCCAATTTTTAAATAGACATGCTGTTGGGTATGAACAGGCAGAGCAACCAAAACAGGGAAGCTGAGAATGGACGCTAAGAACCATACTAGCAGCTAACATACACTGTCTTTAAAGTGTTTTGTAGTAACTCATTTAATCTCCTGTATGGTAGGCACTACTATCATTTCCATTTGACAGGTGAGGAGAATAGAGGGACTGGGATGTTAAGCAACCTGCTCAAGGTCACAAAGCTCCTAACTGCAGAAAATGGATTTGAACCTAGGCAGTCAGGTCCCTCAGTCCATGCCAATGAACCCCTGCCTCGATAGGACTTTGGGACTACTAGAGAAGAGAGGAGTACACATGACTGGCATGGGAGGCTGGTTCCCCTCTGACATGCCAAGACCCCAACAACACCCCAGCAAATCAGCTACCTCTACTGGCAGCTGCAGAACAGCCCTTACCCCTCACAGCCACGTCCCACCAGTAATGTCCTGATATGCCTCGCTGACAGCTCACAGGCTCTCACCTGCAGATAACTGAAAGATCACTTTCCTACTACTTCTTTTCTCTGGAGATGAGTTAGGGAAAGGAGTTACAGAAGCAATGAGATCTGGGGTTAGTACTCCTTCTTCGAAGGGAGGAAATGTACCTTAACCTCAGATGCCCTTAGACAGAAACATCATTTATCACTCCAAGGCAAGGAAACACTATCTGTATTCTGGGATTGAATTCACACCCAAATAAAAACTTCTTGCTAAAACATATACCAAAGAATAGAAGCAATCAGGCTAAAGCAAAGAGAGGCGTTATAGTTCAGATTCCTTGGAAGGAAGCACCCCTGCCTGTCTACAGGAAGACTAGCACTGCCCCATTCTGCAGACCAGAGGTGACAGATGTGGGAGCCAGGGAGGCTGGGACAGGGCATGAGATGGAATCACAAAGGTTGTGTTATTTCACCTAGTAAGATAAGGTCTCCCTAATTAACTTAAGAAAGGGTGGGTGACACAGGCTTATTGTGTATAAGATTCTTTAAAAGGGTAATGGGCCTCCTGAAATATCCAAACAGCCTTCCTGAAGTCACCTTGTCTGATCTCTTACATCTACAGCATCCCTTAAAGGAAGTCCTTTGGCTTCTACTTAAAAGCTTTAGCGATGGTGCAGTCATTCCTCACATTTCCTAAATAAAAGGCCCTCAAAAATGTTACAAGTAGGTTCTGTGGTTTCCCCTGGGACTGAACTAGAAAGCACACTCAGGTAAGTCATGTATATCTCCACAGGAAATGACTGAGGTTTGCAGGGAATTACCACCTGTCACTCAGTCTAACTTTCTGACTCAAACCTGCTGATTCACACACCCAGGCCATAACCCTCTGTCAAGTCAGAAAGTAAGCTCCTCATCACTGCTGGAAACACTTATGTAGCAATAATTGAAGTTGGCCCTTACCTGGGGGCTGTGCCTCTGGACACTGAACTGGGGGTTGCCTGCGAAATGGTCACAATGTCTTCATCCCCTCCGTCCTCATAAAAGCTTGCTAGCGCGATCTGAAATAGAGAGGTAGTACCTTGGGACCCTTAAGTAGGTGTTTACCTATCTTCTTTGAGCACAAAGGAATAATGACATGGCGGCTGGTATCCAGGGGCCATAGAAAATTAGACCAAAAGGTAATAGCCCAACTGTTAGTCTTCATATCACCTGAAACAAATTCCACCCACTAAAGGAAAAAGAAGGCAATAAAGGATGGTTGGGGTGGAGACACTCCTCATTCTCATTTCATGAAGAACGTGACCTAGTAAAGTAGCACACATTTATTGAGCATTTATTTTATGTGCCAGGTTGTTCTGAGCATTCTACAAGTTAATTATTTTAATCCTCATAGAACTCTATGCCATTAGTTCTATTATTGTCTTATGTATAGCTGAAACAGAAACACTGAGAAGTTAAAAAAAAAATTGTCCAAGGTTACCCAGTTGGTAAAGAGTATATAGACAGATTTGATCCCAGTCTGCTTAGGCTCTCAATCGTAAGCTCTTCTGTTATTATTGTATTATTATTATTAATTTTTTGTTTTAGAGATAGGGTCTTGCTATGTTGCCCAGGCTGGAGTACAGTGGCACAATCATAGGTCACTGCATCCTTGAACCATCTGGGTTCAAGCGATCCTCCTATCTTAGCCTCCTGAATAGCTGGGACTCTAGGCATGTGCTATCAGTTAATTTTTAAATTTTACATAGATAGAGTCTTGCTATGTTGCCCAGGCAAGCCTTGAACTCCTCCTGTTTCAGTCTTCCAAAGTGCTGGGATTACAGGTGTGAATCACCAGGCCTGGTCACACTCTTCTGTTATAGCCAGGACTATGGAGTCAGTCCAGGTTACTACTCTTTCTTTTTTCTGAAGTCATTTCCTAATCTGTGTAATGTGTACACCTACCCCACCAACCCTGCACACTGAATGGGATGATCCCTTCAGATTTACACAAATTGATTGCTTAGGTCTATACACATGGAAGAATATGGGAGTACTTTGGCTATGTGTGATATCTCTCCCCAACTCAACAGACAGGCATTTACTAATCACTTACTTTGCACAAAGAAGTAAAAGCACTGGGGTCACAGAGATGAAACAGACACAGCTTCTGTCCTCAAGGTGACCAGACTCACAAGAAGCAGTAAGCTGTTACAGTACATAACCAGCCTGATGGGAGTCTTGGGCATGCACTGAACTGGCATTCAGGAAGTCTACATTCAAGTCCCGCCACTGCCAGGCAAGCCAAGTCACATGCATGAACCTCAGTTTCCCCACCTATACTGCGAGGAGAATGGGATAGATAATCCATTAGGTCTTTCAGTTAGAAACTTTTCTGTTTTTTATTTCTGCCCAGCACAGGGGCTTCACATTGTGTGATGCTTTACCTAACCCCTATGTTTGGGAAGCAATTTATGTTTAGCAGCAGACCCAGTTCAAATCCCAAACCCACTACCTACCAGTTACGTGACCTTGGGCAAATCCCTTGCTCCCTGAGCTTCCAATTCCTCATCCACAAAACTGAACTAGTCTTCTCTACCTCACAGGGTTGCTAGGATTAAATTAACCAACTTATGTAAAGTGCTTGGCACATGGTGGTTAAGAGCCTGGGTTGTCTGCTTAGAATCAGAGCCAAGTTCTAATGCTACCTCTTCTTGCTTGGTAGCTAGTGAGCCTTGAGCAAGTTACTTAACCTCCCTCAACCGCAGCTGCAAAATGCAAGGTTAAAAGACATAAGACAGATAAAGAAGTCAGAACAGTGCCTAGCTGCTCATGGTAGGTACTCAATAAATATTAGTCACCACCATCATCATCTACCTAAGCGGTAGGCTGGCCAAGAACACTTATGCAATTCTTTTTGCAGTTAATTCCCGAGCGCTAATTATGTGCCAGGCATTGTTCTAGACACTGGGGATTCATCAGTGTACAAAAATGCCTACCTCGTGAAGTTTAAGTCTTCTTACCTAGTCAGCAAGTATATAGTGGATTCTGAGTATATGCTAGTGAACTAGACAGTAACTTCCACCGACTCCCATTTTACAGACAACTAGGAAAGGTAAGGAGGCCCCAACCTTGCGCCATCACCCCAGAGGTAGTTTTTCCCAGCAACGAGGTAGGAGGGGCGTGGGCCACTCCCGGGCCAGGCTCCTCCCTCCACGGCTGCCCGGCTTCAGAGAGGGAAATGAACGACCACCTGCTCCCGAGCGCTGCCTCACCCAAGAGCGGGTCGTCGGGCCCAGCCCGGCCTGCGGCGGCCACGCCCCCGGGTGCCCCTCTCCAAGCCGGCTGCGGCAGTGCCCGGAGTCTCACAGACGCAGCGAGCAGGCAAGGCAGAGAGGGAAACTGAGGCACTGCAGAACAGGCTGGGGCTGGCCCGCGTCCACACACTCGCAAGCAGAGCCGGCGACGCGTGACAAGCGGTCCTAGGACCATGAGGCCTGGGTCGAGCCGCGGCCGGGCGGGGATGACTGTGCGCTTCGGCTGCCGCGGGCTGAATGCGCCGGGCGCCCACGCCCCGCGGCCCACCGCCCGCCCGATGCAGCCCGCCTCGCGGCGCTACCTGCAGGTCCCAGCCGGCCGACTCAAGGAAGAAGCGGGCTCGGTCCTCTTCGGCG